AATCCAAAGTTTTTCTTTCATCCACCAACGCATTACCCGTCGCCCAATATGGATTACTTGGATACAGATACTCGTGCAAGACTCATGAATATCATCCATTCTGGTGACACAGGAGAAGGAAGGTTCGTTGTGCACTTTTTCTTCCCGGAACATTTCTGAAACTCGAGATAGACATATAGAAGAACTGACGGAAACTCAGGAAATGCTGAAAGGACAAGAATCCCAGCGCCTGAGAACGTACTGTACTACTCAGATGATGATTCCCAACCGCGACCTTGATACCTACGGTATGCTACTTGCTGCTGCCGACGTCATCAGAGTACGTGAAGATTTCGACATGCGAGTGGATCGACACTTCAAAATCACCTCCACGTCGTCCGAGAATTTCGAGACATGTAAAGAGGCCGCCCGTGCTGCCGCGGCTGACGAACTCTATCAAATGCACTGGGGCCCTACCCGAGTTCCAATTTACAACCTTCTTGGCTTGTTCACGATTCTCTACCCTCCAGAGCGGACTTCATATCTTAGCATCGCGAAGTATCTCATTAAAACGGCTCAAGTCCCGGTAGACGGAACAGACCTTTCTGGCACCCGTGCACTATCGCATTGCTTCTCTACGAAACCCGGGTTTGACCTCGAGTATGCGCAAATTCTCTACGATGCTGGCGGAGATGTTAACTCTCGTAACCGCTACGGGTCGACTGTCGCACAAGAGATTGTCTAGGTCTACAAGCCCGGCGACCGCGACGCTGTTAGTCGTGCTCACGCTGCATTGGAATGGTTTTTGCGGCACGGTGGTAATATTGATCTCGCCGACGAGGATGGGTACACTGTTCGAATGACCTTCACGACGTTGCGGAAGATGCCGACGTTGAGAGAAATCACGAAGCTCGTGGATGCGGAGGATGCCAGACGGAGAGCACTGGGGGATACATGTTGTGCAACATGTGCACGGACGGGGGAGAGCACGACATTGGCACGCTGTGGGAAATGCAAAAAAGTTCGGTACTGCCTGCCGGGGCTGCGTGCTTGCCAGGCGTTGGACTGGCCGAAGCACAAGAAGACCTGCAAGAAACCTTAGGCTATCCGGTACGTGCCATCCATTCCGATTACCTTCCGCTCACTAACCGGGCGTTCATGTCGTTCAGACCAAGAGAAGTTCTCTATTGTAGACTATCCAAATGATTGTCGTTTGGCAACATCATTTTAATTCCGTGAGTGTGAAATATGGGAACCAGGCGTTTGGCTAACAACTGGATGGTGATCAGGTACTTGTCTTACGGCGAATTGATCTATTATCTTCTCGATATGAACCGGCCCAAGGAATATCCGCACAGTAGGTGTCTCACTCTGCACGTTCTATGAAAGCCCGGTGCAGTCTTGTGATCATCCATGGCTATCTATATGCAGCATTCGACTCTTCGACCGTCACAAAACTTGGAGCTAAGATGTCTCTCGTTGTAGACGACTTGCTGGCCAAATTCCGGGGTTTAGGCGTGCTCCCTACGATGCCGCTATCACCATCAGAACCTCAATGGTTTCTGCGCTCTTGCGAGAATTCGACATGTGACGTCGTTACCCAGAGCAAGCTTTAAACGTTTGAGTACTGTGCGGCCACGCCGCATCGTCAGACGGCCTCCGTGACCCTGTTTTCATGAGAAGTACATTAATTACTTATTTCGAGTGTGCAAACCTTGGACTGACTGCAGGGCGTAGAACTAATCTTTGCCTCGTTTCGGTGGTTTTGCCGAAGGATGTCTCTCACTCCTGTGACATTTGATCCCCTCCGCGTCATCTATTGGCTTCGGGCTTTGATTATCCCCCAACATGGATGAATTAACGATATCGAGCCTGTGATTTGCAGGTACCACGCGTTTCAATGTTCCGTCCCAATGATCTATAAAGTTTCTGTCGCATCAGGGATTCAAACCGTCTTACCCTCCAACTTGGAACCGCGATGCCGGGAAATACACGCAGAGTACTCCTTATCCTAGACGCCCAAAAAGCCGCGCTCTCCCCTCCACCCACGGGAATCCCCTCCTCAAAAACAGTCAGCAAGAATATCACGCAGATACTAGAAACTGCGCGGTCCGCGAACCCACCGCCATTGATAATCCACATTCGCACTGCGGGTGATGTAGGAGAGCCCGACGAGCCAAACACCCCGGGATGGGAGCTCGTCAACCCCCCGTTGCCGAACGAGCCAGTGATTGATAAGAAGAAGAACAACGCTTTTGCGGGAACGATTCTCGGGGATCTCATAGTTTCTGATGCGGAGATCGTTGTGGTTGGATTGCAGTCGGATTTCTCTCTGAGAGCTAGTGAGGCGACTCGCGTTTCTTCTCACTTTGGAGATCCTGATTTCTATGTAGCGTGCAGTGCTGCATTGGATCGGGGTAACGAGGTGTTGATGGTTCGGGGTGCCCATGGGACGTATGATCGCTTAGAAGTACTTTTTGGAGAGGGGACCACAACAGCGAGCGCGGTTGAAGCTGAGACAGAAGCTGAGCTGGAAGAGGCTGGAGTTTGCATTTTAGAGATGAAGGATCTGCCGGGTATCTTCAACAATCGGTAGTATTGCGTTTTACGTTTTACGTTTTGGGTATGTGGCCGTGCATTTCTAATAACCGGAGACGTCTAACAGGCTCGGGGAAACGAATCCAATAATATATAGCGGTCGGGAAAATCGTACAAGCATGATGTTTAATCATGCCTCCGGCGAGTAGGGCACCTATTCTGGTCCCCATACAAACAATACAGTCTAAGAGGCTTCCGTTGTCAATGGAAAGTGCCATGGGGCTGGTGCATCCGCTGCGAGTGTTCGTCAAGCTGCCAGACTTTTCCTCGGGATTGTGTGAAGTGTTCCCACACACGAAGAGCGCTCGCGTCAAAGACGCTTACTCTATGATCGAGTGTTGCCAGAGCGTGCTTGAGATGACCTGGCATACAGGAACACGGAAGGCAGATTTTCGAAGGTGTATCTGACACTCCATTGAAGCTGTCAACAAGATTACCAGACAACCCTATTATTGATGACCTCATTTTCATATTGGACTGTATAGTGGACAGTGAAGGCTGTTTCCGGTGAGATGCGAACGACATGGCGGTATTAGGATGGTGCCAACCGCTAGGCAATCATCGCTTAGCTTCACCACCGTCGCTTTCGACTTTACCTTTCGAAGGGACGAATGATAGGAACCTCGGGCAGTAATAGCATTCCTTTGACTACAACTGCCCGGCGAAGACGCGTCGTTTGCGGCAGGCACTCAGTACGGCGGTCGGCCCGCAAGTCCCGACAGAGATCATCACTGCTAACAGGCACACGCCTACGTATAGTTTCACATCCTTTAGGAAATCATCATTCCTTGGAAGCCTTGAGTTATATATTGCTCTTTCGTCGGCTTCTATCTGACTAAGTATCCTGGCGCTCTTTGAGGTCTTCAGGACTCTGTTCGTTCCAACCGTACTCTAACGACTCTGAAAGAGGCAGTGGTCCAAAAGTAATACTAAGTGCTCCGATGTCACCTTGGTAAAAGCATACCGGCAATCCCGCCCTGTTCATCATCACGGAGATCTACATACCAGGATCCCTGTATCACATTTTCCTGTGTATACTCTTGGCTGGCCTCCCCCGCAAGGCATACTTTGGTGTGTATGACCCGCTCTTTCCTAGGCTCGTGGCACAGAATGGCAGGTCGGCAGCTGAGCTTCATTTCAGTGCCATCAATTCGATACATGTTACACGTGCCAGCGATTTACAGTGCGCCGTTCTTTTCTTTCCGGGAATTCTGACGCGTATACTGAAACGTTGGTGCTCTGTAGAACGATGACAGGCGACTTGTAGCATACCAAGGATGGAATGCGCCGCCATGGTATAAGATGCGAAGGAAGTAGGTATTTCCCCACTACATTACCTCTTTCCTAATTAAAAGCACGCGACCATGCGATTCAACGCTTTCAAACATCTCCGCGTCCTCTCAGGTGTTTGGTGCATATTTTTCAAATTTTTACTTTGTACATTAATGCTCACAATGGTGTTCACAGGGGACCATCGAGGTTCGCATGCTATTCATCTATGCTTCTCTCTGACTACATGCCAAGAGCGAGATACTATCTTATACGACGTATCATAGATACATCCCTTGCGGAAAACATGCTGGCAGTCTGGAGGAAATGGAGGAGGAGCGTCTGCCAGTGGAAACGGAGGACAAGCCTCCCATAGCTCAGGCTCTGGGTGAAATGGAAGCAAGTAAAGGTCAACAATGAGAGACCCTGCCAGTGGTTCCTTTACGAATTTGAGTCGCTTTTTTATCTTATATCTGTCCACCGGAATCATGCTCCCTTTTCCGTTTACTATCCCATACTTTATTCTTTACTTACGCGATATAGTCTTTTCTCCACGGCGAGCGAGAGCTTCGTGCGCTTTCCTCGATTTGTGCTACTGAACCTATTTACTTTCATATAATTCTATATTCACATCGATGTATTACCTTGCAAGTGAAGTGTTCTTAATGGGGAATTGCACTTTTTTGTCGTCTTGGAGACTGCTTTCGTAGCATTTTTATCTAGACGAAAGAGGGATGGATTCCGCAGAAATACGTGTACTGCGTACCTTTTCAAATCATATCTCAGGCGACACAAAGGGTAGGACACATCTGTACGGCTGAGACGTTGAGTGCCAGGTAATGTTACATGACACTAGAGCTTCTTGGTGCTGTCCATGGTAAGTTTACCAATATTGGCTCATTGCCAAAAGTGCAAAAGCAGTGATATAGTGATAGTGATACTTCATCGTGTCTCCAGGAGCCTACCTTTCAGAGCATCAGACTGCAATCAATTATTAGTAAGAAAGTTTCACCTCTGCGACTTGGCTCGCCGTGCTTGCTTGCGCAATGGACAAAAGAAAATTCGTTACCTCGCGAATTGCTATTTAGTGAAGGACTAAAAGAATGCAAGCAGAAAAATCGACGAAAATAAAATATACATACAATCGTACTAATCTCTCTGGCTGGGAGTCGAACCCAGCTTTCGCGCGAAAGGTCACTCTTACAGGTGTTGGATGACAGGCGCGTGTACTAACCGATATACTACCAGAAACTCCATAAAGTTGATCACCTTTTGAATATAATTGTTGATAAGAAATCGGGTCGACGCAGATGACCCGCATTACAACCAACGGCGATGTCTTCCAAGAAAAGTCATGAACTGAAGCGTCTGACGCTTCAACCTCAGCGACATTGGACGTTCAAATACCCCTAGTAGAGCTGAGCAAGCAGCGCAGATGTGTTGAATTTGATGTCAGGTCGGGCCGTTGCCTTTATGTTCTACAAATAATTTCTCATATGTTACAGGATGTCACGACGAAAACGAAGGTACACAGATTTGTACAGCATAATCTACACTTGGAACACTGTCTGGCGAACGTGGTAGAAAAACGAAGGTATCAATGACGGGAGAGAGTGAACTGTAGGAATATGAACTTGGAACGCTTATCGAGCTACAGTGGGTATAAGCTTCCTATAGTCTAGTGCCGAAACTCAGCGTGGATGTCCAACAGAAAAATTTGCGTGCACGAGGGGTGGGTGCAGCATGGTGGAGAAGGTGCGTTATTTTAGACGACTGCAACGAAATCAGCACTCATTCAGACCGCCAGACCACGACGGACTCGTACCATTCTGTACCAAAGGCAGTCTCCCTTCTTCACTCATTTCCTTCCCGCGGCGCGCCTCGTTCTCATCCAACCGCGTTTCCGACAGCGGGTCACCAGACCATCCCAACAATCTTGTCCTCCTTTGGCGCATCTTCATTACCACCAGCACGGCGATAAGCAGCAAGGTTATTGCTGCTATAATGACGATCAGTGCTGGGGTAGTGGGCGGGGGAGGCATTGTTTAGGTGACGATCAGGCAGGCCAAGACCCATCTTATCCTGGCGGGACATGTGCATCCTGTCACTATTCCTGGGCGATGTGGGACAATCCCAGGGTTTTCGACAGAGGGAATGCTGCCGGGTAATGAACGTGGGATCGTCGAGTATTCACTTGGTGGTCATGCGCAAACGTCTAGGCGGTTCGCTATCAACAACTCTTCTCTTTCTCATCGTTCACCTTGTGTCCTCTTTTCTTTCATTGGCTCTCCTTTTCTGTCATATCTCCCTGCCCTTCGGAATATGATGGACGGGCAATACCATGAGAGAGGATCACTGCATCCGGGCCAATGTTTTGGTCCTCTGACCTTCCGGCTAGTTTTTGAGAGAGCGAGGTAAGTTTCCTTACTATTCCATCTTTTACCAGGGACCTAACGAGCTTCGGTAGGTGCTCCGGTCCTACACATGTTAAGGGGCAATCATATGAAGGGAACGAGCCGTACACCCGAGACTACGGATGATGTGTCCTTGATCGTTGAAAGCCTTACAGTGAGCTCTATCACCGTGCCGTCCTGAAATGTTCTAACGCCGCCTTCAATTAAGGGAGGATCATGGACTCTCGGAACCGGTCCGCCAAACCACTTAGTCCACAGGAACTTTTCGCGCCTCTCTATCCCAATCACCGATGTCCCTTCACCTTATGTTGTGCCTCATTCTCATCGGACTATCCCAGCGCTTTTTGCGACATGCTGCTCCTAGCGTGCAGCTGGGCTGCTGCTAGTACCGGGCACAGCTCAAGAAGGCGCCCTTTTCAGCAGACACCGCTGGAGACGGAAATCCCCCCGGGAAAAGTCGTCGCTAGCTCACAGCCGTTCGCTTTATCTCTCAACCGATGGGCACCGAACGGACGGCAGGCACCCCAGGAACTGATAATGTTGTTCGTCGCCTCTTCCTTCGACGACCGCACGTTTTTGTGACACAGGCAGGCGCCTCTTGGAACAATGTTCGCACATAGTATATTCGGTCGAGACCCTTCCCCGGTGCCGCGATTTGCCATTTCACAGCTCTCTCCCATTTGGAGCAAGGCGTCTGTGTAGAGCGCTGGACTATCTTCGTGTGATTCGCAGGTGGTCATCGCCATCTCCTTCGACAATTTCATTTACATTGGGAAGCTCACAGACTCTTATCTCTGGCGAGAGCGTGAAGGTGCGCGTCTCAGCATAGCTGTTGAATCTCGTTGTAACACTCCTTTTCGCGTAGCAACCTTTTGGTTGCAGAAATCAACAGCCTGGATCATCGAAGCTGGGCCCGTTGTACATCGTCGCGTTTGCCCGGCCCTTTCTCTTCCCTTGGTACGGTTCCGTCATCCTCAATCCACGAACGTCCCTCGTCACAACACAATCCTTCTCATTTGCGTTCTGCTCCGTATGATGACCCCGTTAAGAAGAATGTGTACTTCTGTCCGCGCATATAATCCAGTTCCGCGAACTATATGGTCGAAGAAGCATCCTGGCTTTGACATCTGAGACATACCATCCCTCGAGCATACTTCCGTGTGCCGAGTTCGAAGAGAGGCGCCTTCTTCCCCCATGAACCCTAGTAGAAGGGCACGACTAAGGAGTGTTACTGTAATGTCCTCGCTTTCTGGCGCCGCATTTGACGGAGAAGCAGGATCGATGGCCCCTCCCCACCTCCGGAACCTGCTAATATAGCTGGTCCTATGTTATGGTATGTCCTCGTCATGCGGAACATGAACTGAGTTATGCATGCCCCACATCCTCCGAGATTTACGCAACGGGGCAGTTAAGTCGGCCAGGACTAGACGACGAATATGTTCGTGACATGGACCCACCGAGGAATCAAGGGCGTGTATGGAGAACTGTCATTGGTGGCTGGTTCGCAGTGATGCTGAATGATTAGCAGGTCTTGTACCCTCCGACCTAGTATTCGTGGTGACATGGCTTCGCGTGCTGGTTCAGGGTTTCCGAGGTGAGTTTTCTTACTATTCCAGCTTTTAAACGGGAAGCTAATGGGCTTGTGTAGACTGCGTATGTTCATCAGAGGCCTTGTATGAGGGTGGATACGTGTTGACATTGCATATCGGCGCCCTCGATTCGGGACCGGCGAATACAAGTATTTTCTGCAACAATCCTTCTCTATGACGTCGCTCTACTTCTAGTAATACCGGCTGCCCGACATAACAGGTGCTGCAATCAATTATTTGTCACCATGGATTCGCTTTTTCTGCCATAAACATTGGTGATGAAGAGAAGGAAAAGGACGAGGCGTACCGTCGAGGCCGCGATCCTTCAACCTGGGGTCTCAGGTCTCGTTCGGCCGTCTCTTGTGGATCTTTTGACGCGCAGAACGAGGCATCTTCTATTGCTTGCCATCTGGAAAAAGGTCTACGATCGGTTTTGTAGTGGTCTCCCCATTGGAGGTCGATATACTGTTTACGCGGGGAAGCACATGAAGGCTCAGTATCCCATGTCGCGACCTCTATCAAGGATGTCGAACCCTGCGGCGGTGCGATAGCTCGAGGCCGGCTGTTCATCGAGTCCCCAGTGCACGGAACGAGCGCATTGTTTTCCTCTTCGGGGGTTCACAACATTGACCTAAAGCTGAGGGCCACTCCGTTTCGTCAACAACTGCGGCGCATTCTGCCAACCCGGGCGCCATTCGGGGGACCACCTACTTCATCAACAATTTCCACGTCCCATTCAGACACGGATTTCCCACAACCCGATGTTCCTAGTCCACGTACCCGCTCAAGAGTTCCCTCCTGCAATAGAGGGATCGTCGTCGAGTGTTGTCAGTGTCGTGTGCAGCTCGCCAGCCTTCTCCTTATCGCCCATTGGACCGTCGCTGGTGTGGGAAGTGAGGACGAGGTTGGCGCTCTTCACAGTTCTCCTTCCTGTTTATGAGCTCCGTGTGTGCCCAAGAGCCTCATATGAGAAAGGAAGCCGTGCGATTGGGACCATCCAGACGCTGCCACACCACGTTCACTTCAGGGAGCAACAAGGTCCTTTCAATTTCTTTCTCGTTGAGGATCGTATGGAACTACTCCAGAGGAAACACTCATCCTCCGACGGACTGTTTTTCGTCTCTTCGCTATCCTCAGGCTCTCTCGCTGGCAAAGCAAACGTACGGTACCAGCAACTAGACGTCTCTTTCCTTTTGTTGGCAGAAGACCAGACGCATGGGTGTCCTCCGCGGTGGAGCATCATCGACTCTGCAGCCAGACGATCGTTGCATCTACACACGGAGCAGATTCCACCTTTGACACATAACTCATGAGCTCAGCTTGCATGTCCTCCAGCTCTGACATCCTGGGTTTAGTTCCTACCCTGTCGAGATTCCCGCCTTATGTACGCGCATAGGACCTACCATATCGCCTGCATGCACCTCTTATACGCGTTCGTCTTAAATGCACCACGCGGCTTTATATTTCAAGGACACCTAACACGAGACGAGGAAGGTATTCAAATTGCGTCCGCAAGCGGTCATTTCATTCCCCTCACATACATTCAATATCGACTGGATGTTTTGAGCGTCAACTACTGCTCTCCCAGGATCAGTCCAGCACCTCAGCTGTCGGTCTTTGTCTTCTCCGTTGACAGTCACCCGGAGGTTAGAGGAATTCGTGATGGGGAGACGGGTGAACATGAGGTCGCCATCGTAACCCTTGGTCCCCGAAAACCAGACGATCCTCCTGAGTTCGTGAGGAGTAGACCGCGAGCTGATGGTACATGGAACCGGCGCATTCTCTTGCTGATGTCTGAATGTGCTTTCGATCCCTCCTCTCCCAGCGCCCAACTCGTGCGTCAAGCAACAATCTTCATTGACCTTTTTAGCAACTCACACGAGTACGAGACCAGCACTTCGAGGACCGGTCTCCTAATGCATATGATATTATCTTCTCTTGCCAATCCTGTAAAGTTATCTTAGCTTGTTTCCTTCCAAAATTCACAGTATAGCTGTACTCTTGTCATGATTTGTAATAAGTGGTTGCGCAGCGGGGTGAATGAATTCCAGAAACTGCATCATTGATAAATGTTACATGTCGAACGGCTCGAACTTCTAACCAAGTTTAAACATTGAGCAATGCTCATCTGAGTCCTGACTGAGCAGTAAGTATGGCTAGCACCAACCCGGGCCAACCTCCAAGGGATGTAAAAAGCAAACATATCTAGATCCTATTCACCTCTCTGGCTGGGAGTCGAACCCAGCTTTCGCGCGGAATTCGAACCATTTATAGACCCATATGACAGGCGCGTGTACTAACCGATATACTACCAGAGAACACAACTATTCTGTTCCACGGTACAATTACATTATGGGTCCTCTGGCAAAGACAACCTATGTTTCTCCACTCGGGCTCTTCCTCGTACACGGCTGAAAAGGCAACGCGATCAACTCTGTGGTGTTTTGTAAGCTTTTCTTGAGACAAATATGTGGAATTCGTCAACTGTGGCAAGATTGGAGCTCATCTGCCCCACGAATTTGACGTGAGGAACGAACGGCTCAAATTTGTGACCGGCCAAGTTAAGCAAAGAGCAGTGATGCTCGATTTGGTTGGCAGGCAGTGCCAAACAACACGATCACTTCGCGGTTTTCTGTCCGCAATCATTTTCACTTTCTTCTAGTCGCTCCGTTTCTCAATCACTTCGCTCTCCTTTTGACTCCCTTCTGTGTTTGGGTAGTTCCTGGTTTGACGCAGCAGTTACTTCCGTTCACACCTACGCTGCACGCTTCAGGTCTCCCGATCACCTGAGCTCTCGGCTTCTCCCGCAAGTCTCGTCAGTACCTTCACAATCTCGACTTGTTGAAACTTCTGGACGCCGAGTTCTCTCCCCCCCAAACCCAAGAAATCATAGATTTCTTGTTCATTCACTGGATAACATCCATTCCATATTTCATTCTCTCTAAACACGTCCTACCTCCACAGCTTAACTTGGCACACCGCCAGGCCATATTCCACTCTATGATTTCCCATCATTGCTCGATTCCTTCCTGTGGCGTCATCCAATCGGGTTCCCGAAAGCAGGACAATTCGCCTTCTTAGGCTCACCGAGAAGCATGCTTGTATACGAATTGGTCTCACAATGGAGGGCTCGCCTCAATGAACGTCTCACGGTTGGGTTAGGTCGTTCACCATCAACCACCTTGCCATTTTCTTCCGATACCTCTCCTCCGGGAGCTGCATCTGGATCAATGTTTGTGCGTTCCGACTAAGCGCGTCCCGTTCCGAGGTAAGTTTTTCTTATCATGCCATCTACGCTCTCTCAATCTAGAGGCGGAATACGAGTTCGATAGGAAGGGTTTGCCGAGGGCATTGTAGTGAGCTCTATCACTGTCTCCTCCTCGTGAACTGTACTAACTTTAGGATTCAAAGATACTGTGCCGCCCTCAATCAAAAAGCTCCCGAGCTGAAGCCGGTATCCCAACTACCGAATGTTCTGATTATGTTCATTCATAATGCCGTGCCCCGTGCTCATCCAGTCGTCCCATATCCGAGGTTTTCAGTCCCGCAAGCGCCGGTAGCAGGTGAACGATGCCGAATGGAGGGTCCTACAGAGGTCGCTTGGGAAGAAAGTATTCTTCTGCTTCACAATGAGGATCGCGCCTCATACATATCTTGCTCAAGGATTCTGATGGAAAGCAAGTCTACAACGTCGTCTATGTGAAGGATTACACAGTGCCGAGGGCACCCCCTCCCACAACGAACTGAAGAGTCGCCGGCTCCTGTAAACGAAATTGGCATCTGCTCGATGATAGACCCTCGGACGTTGGGCGCCAATTACCCCCTATCCGTTTTGGCCTCGATTCGCTTTTGTACGCCTTCACATCACTTTCTGTGGTGTTTGTTATCCTTCAAGCAGTGGTTCCCACCTTCTGCTCAGAGTCTCACGGTGCTTTTTGAGATCGCGTCGTGCCTGCTACAATTACCTCGCACCAGACCAACACTCTTCACTCTTGGTTGTCTCGTTTGAGACGTGATCTCTCCCTGGTTTTTCAGAATGACGAACAAGGAAAAGTTCAGCCACATACCTCATTTACGTCTCCGACTGGGAGTCGAACCCAGAACGTTACTATATTAACCGATTCACCACGGAAGTCTCATCACCTTGTCGCCATTCTCATCCAATACTATGTCGCACGCCCCCAAGTCGCCTTTATCCCCGGCTCATGAAGAGACTCGCCTCAATACATGTGCTGATCCTAGTACCATGTGTAGTCCGACGGCTCGCGCCCATCGAGGCTAGGTGTGTAGAGTCGGGTCACCCCTACAATATCAGGTGCACGCCACAGATGCAGAAGGTGCGCATCTAGTCCAGTTCCGTCGTCCTCACTATCCGGTTCTCGGGTATTCACCACACGGAGTCCCAGCAATGCACAGACCACAAATGTTTGTTCCACAGTCGCCGGTCTATGAGAGTATGCATTCCTTTTTACGCTTCGCCTCTCGGCACATCAGAACGGGAAAGCGGGAGAATAGGTTGCATCCGTCCGCATGGAACTGTGCCGCGTTGTACTACCTTATCCGCATGCCGTCCTGAATCCAGCCTCTGGGTGTTAACTTTCGGTAAAAGAGTCGGCGGCAGCGAAGGAAAATCCTTTCATACTGAGATCCGAGACCACATACCGGTTTACAAACTCTAAACATTCAGATTCGACTTGACTACGCGACAGCACCTGGTTTAAACCAGCCGCGCGCCTGGGGATATTCTCTGCACTGTCCGATCCATATGCTCGCGTCTCGGGATCCGCCGTTCCTGTTCATGAATATATAACGTTTTCCTCACTTGAACGGCCCCCCAGAACTTGCTAGCAGCTCCACTTAACTGGTTGGACCATCTACTTCGTCGATATATCCGTGCTGCTAGAGTTCGCCGAGGCGGGTGGATATGAGGACCAGTCAGAGTATGTCCGAGGTCGCTTGACGGGCTCACTCTTCATGGGATGGTATAGTCGCTCGCAGGACCCCTTCTCTTTACCAACTAATGCTGGTAGAATTATATTGGCTTGGGTTTTGTTATGCAGCTTCGTTGGCCGGATTAGATCCTGTGTTTTTGGAAAGCATAATTCTAATTTGACCCCAGGTAAGAAAAATCTTCGTTCGACAATTCCAGTCTCGCTGGGATTTGAACCTTGCTTTTACCTATGTAAACTAACCGATGCACTATCGTAGACTAGACAAAATTTCATTAATTATATTACTGCCTACAAGTGTCGCGTTTTCTATACTACACCTACCCTGCAGTGCCCAAGATTTTACGAATGGACATTCAGAGTCTGGTGAATACTTATGTCTTTCCTATAGAGTCGAGATCTGAAATAAGCACGGAATGAACAATGGGCGAACCCCGAAGCTTTGAAAAAGGAAGCTGGAGAATCAAAACTGAGAAAAAAATTGACGCAGTTTCCGGAGTATCTAAGTCCCTCGCTGGGAGTCGAACCCAACTATCGTAACATGTGCATGTCCGAACCGGTACACTAACAATGATAGAAGACTGTGCGCTTAGGGCTCTCTTGAAGTTTCAGCTACTCTGTCACGATTTTTCTCGTAACCAGCGCGCATGCGTTGAGACGGGACGATTTGGTACCACGTAGAGCTTGGAGGGACAAACGTGCGTGAATTTTAGGCAATTGCCGCGAAAGCCAGCGCTTATACATACCACCAGCTCGCTCTCATCCAACCGCGTTTCCAACAAAAGGACCGACCTCCTTTGGTCACCAGCAGCGCGACGATAAACAGTCAGGACACAGGTAGTGTTCCTTCGCTTTTCGAGTCCTGCTCACCGTGACTGATTCGGTGGAACGACATCGAACACAAGGATATTTGGTTGGTTTCTCCGGATGCTGGAAATAGACGTCGGCAGGGAAATGGACGTGGTGGTGGCTGTGGCTCGAACGAACGTATATTCTGAGGAGCTGATACGTAGATGGTGGTGGTACGAGGCCAAGAAGCGGTTACGATCGTTACGAAAATCAACAAAAGATGCAGTGGCTGTGAAACCCCAACTTCTTGTTGAACAAGGGAGGCATCGCTCGGAGTATACGACCCTATCCCTCGATTCTGCTAGAGAGTCTCCCTCTTTGTCTTGCCGTTTCTGTGATGGTACTCAGATTTGACGAGCATACTCGCCGTGTTTCTTCCCTCCTCTCCAGAACCTGCGCGGACTCCTCCGTTTCCGATGGCCAATGTCTTCCTACACCTGCGTGCGCCGCACTACCGAGGATCCTTCACCTACAAAGGGGAGAATAGTTGCAGCGGGACAAGTCTCTACCCTTCAGAAGCTTCAGCTTTAGACTTCATGTTGATCGTGCATAGTGCATAATTATACACAGTGTTTGCCGTCGTCGTCTGAACAAGAAGACTAAAGCTCTCTCAGCAAGGCGTTGCACCTCCAGTACTTGGCCGTTCACCAACATTTCCAACCTCCATTTTCGGGACTTCGTTGCATTTTTTCATGACTGTCCTTACTGTACCATTGGGCATCCTCGGCTCCATGTATTCAAGGGGCAGATCATGGGTATATGTGTGTGATTGGGACTAGCTGGTGTGCTCGCCCGCATACATCATATCCTCCAAGTCCCCTTCAATTCGGAACCTGCTACCAGCCAACAAGGATTTTGCCATCCTCATTCTCGTCGACCGGCTTCTGTCATGATCGATCCAGGTCTTCGTAGCAGGATAGCAATGACTGCACCCTTCGTCTTGGACGACATAACGAGGCGTATGAATTACCTCTACATATATAAAAAGCATTTCTGTACGCTCTTTCGTCAACTTTCAATCACGACTAATTATATTTCGTCTGATATAGTGTCCGCACGCCTCACTACTTATAGAAGCCAAAGTTAAAAACTGAAACCTATACGCAAGACGGGCAACCGAAAGTTCTCTCAATGTTACAACCACGAAAGATATGCGTCTTAATAAGCTTCGCTTAGAGACCCACGTTGATGGGGGTGCAACCGAGAGCAACAAGGCCATTCTATGTCGGTCAGTCCTGATGATGTCCTGAACATGGGTTGGCAGCACTCACGTAGTTATTCCCCGTGCAGCAGGCCGGCTGGTTAGCACACTGGGTAGTCCCAAGGCCGATCACGGTAATGGGGTTGCAAGTCAGCCCACTTTCAAACATATATCAGCCTGGAATCACAGACAAGAAATATACGCCTTACACTTGGCCGGTAACACTTCCAATCGGGATATTGAGAAGGCCCAGGAGGGTCTGAATCGGCGCGGATGTGGGCTGGCGTTTGTTAGTGTTAGTGTTGTCTTCGTGGGTGCGTAATGTTTTTGGGACTTACGCTCTGGACAGACTTGCAGCACTCGAGGGTACCGGTGTTGCAATTTCCTCCAGTGACAGTGCTAGCTGGAAGCGCACTGGCCATGGCAAGAGCTGAGAGGGCGAATATACGAGCGAACATTATATGCTGGTGAGATGTAGGTGGTGTTTAGCTTGCTGATGATAATGACTGACCGACTCCTGGTCCATTTTATACCCCTCCAGTGTCGCTTGTTCGCTTCGTCGAAGAAATAAAAATATCTTGACTTGACGGTTGACCGACAGAACGTTTGGGGAGCCCTGAAGAGAACGACGGGCGCGTAGCATTCTATTTTTCTCGACCGCCAACTGGGACTATGTTCTCTTGGAAAGCCAAAGAGATAGAACTCGTGATACACAAACTGACAGCCGTTATTGTTTGTGGTCATTTTTTCGAGGCTAGTACCTGCATGATAACGATAAATTTACGGCTCACTGTACGAATGGTATGGCTCTCAGTTTCATTTGTAGTTCCTGGTGACCCTGTTATGTCGCAGATGACAACAAGCGGAGCTTGTGACGCCACCACTCCCAAAAAGTCGTGCTGGGTCTCCACATCGTGACTTGCCAGTGATTGTTGTCAACAGTTGCTGCATTTGAGTCTCAACTTGTCCATTACTCCAAAGGGTACGCGTCGGTACATCTCTTCCCTCTTCGTAGAAAAACCTATCTTCAAGCCGGAATTTCTTTCAGTGGCATATGGCACCGAGGAATGTCGGGTAGGGGTATTACCTTCGACGTTCCAGGTCTGTTTGCTGTTATGGAGAGAAACCGACACTACATTTGGGTCCTCGGTCGGGTTTTGAAGCTACTGCCGGATCTCTCGCAGACGTGGGTATCTTTGTTCATCCATTTTCCGAGTGCTTATCTACTTCTAGGCCGCGAGAAGAAGACATTAGAGTTCATTCTCAAGGGGATCGTTTTTCGGTTTATCCGTTCTATGGTGCTTCTATATCAGACGTTGGCGAGGTGTATATCCCAATCCTACGACGACATGGTAGATTTTCGGTGCTGCAGTGCAGGGTAGGAGATAATGTTGTCTGCTAGTCGCTCCGCAGAAGAATGGCATCAACCGTATGGTGGCAGCTCGCCCTACTGCTGTTGAAACAAAAACGCGCATCCGTTTCCACAACTGCCGGGAATCGAACCCGATATCATCAGAGCGACGGACAAGAAAAGGCGGGATTATTGCTTTATAACCTCTCCGACTGGGAGTCGAATCCAGAACACGGCGTATCAACCGATACACCACGGGAGTCTCATAACTGTAATAAAACCAGTTTCCTTTCTTCTTCTCTTTCAGTGATATCCCCTGCGCATGTACTCCACAATACCCCAACCTTTCGTTTTTCCCTTCCACGCCAGCATTCCACTCCCTCTTCCTTGCAACACTCTCGGCGCATGCATGTCCATCCTACCCCGTCCGCATGAGGCGTACTCTTTGGTGACTCGGGCCTGACGTCTAGAGAAACAACCATCGATTCAGCAGCTCAGTTGTCAGTCCTTCCCATCAACGAGAAGTATGTTCCTGGTGCGATGTCAGGACGGTGTATTTCCTACAATAATCCTTTCAGCTACGGCCTAGATAGTCGTGCACTATGTCAGAGAGGCATGGATTCAGAGAGCACGTCAGAGGCTGGTGACTTGACGGGTCGGTTCTCATTCAGATACAATATTGTTGCTCGCCTTCTGAAAGCCCTCTTCTATTTACCAACTGCCAAACTTTGTTTCGGTATGGCCGTACCGTTGACTTGACATGTTAAGTACCACTGGGCTCTGGGATCGTGCAGTGGTACTTCTCCTTACATAGATAATAAGCAATATTCATCGTTGATGCTTGAACGATTGGGGCCTGGGCAATGGGCATCCTACGGAAGAATCCAGGATGGAAAAAATTTAGGAACTTAGGACCCCACTCTCTGGCTGGGAGTCGAACCCAACCCTCGCTCGTGCGAGGTTAGCTAGATTCGGCCCGATGACAGGCCCGTATACTAACCAACACACTAACAGAGAATTGCAAGAGTTCTATATGATATTTATACTGATGCTATCGTAATCAACATGGTGACAGCTGGTACCTCCGTCAAACAGGTTATCTTAACACGACGATGTCCTCCACCCGGAAGCAATTGGCGTTCTCACTCGCGACAGCAACATCAGACGTCTCATCAATAGCCGGGCTGAGAAGGCGACGCGAGTTTTGATCTCGAGATTTCAGCCCTTTGTCATGTTTTGCGAGCTTTTTTTTCCTGATATCAAGAGACGTGAATTCGTATACGGCGACCTCCCGTGTATTGGTCGAATGGTCGGTACGTGAAGTTCCAATTGTACCAAGATTAGAGCTCATCCACACCGCCAGACAGCTATACACTCATTCCATTCTACACCAAGACGATTTCCTGTCATCCCCGTGCAGCGCCTCATTGTTATCCAATCGCGTTTCTGACAGCAGGTCACGACTCACGGTTCTCCCCACCTCCTTTGGCATATTTTCCTGAATAGCTGCGCAGGGATAGACAGCCATGGAGCACGGCTGCGATTAGTGCTGGTGGGGAAGGCATCACTGTATGAAGGGGTGAATTCGTGTTCGAGTGGATACATTGGAGATTCCCGTGGAACGTCGAGTATGGTCATGTCCGCGGGACACCTCTTTGTCCGATAACCTCACCCGTTAGCCCTATGTAATCTAATCAAGCGCAACATTCAGACGGTGCGACTTGAGTACTCTATTCCGGTGGCGATGTTTTCCAAGCAAAGTCATGGGCTGTAGTATCCGGTGCTCTCGGTAGGAGCATTCGATTGTATTGTAGAGATACGGACTGGGAGCAACAGGTAGGGGTGTGTTACCAACATCCTATATCCGGAACTCAATCTGCATATCTAACAGAAATCTTATGTGGGTATGGGCAAGCCGACACTGTGATTCTCGGGTTTCACTGTATTCTGTATTGTTTACCCAAGGCTTGATATGTAGGGCTGTACTCAGTACGTACCGGTGGAGTGGCCGATATTCTTGTCCCTCTTCCAAGATGCTCATTCTATCTTCAGTATAGTATCGCTTTCGTATGCCGGGTGATCATCATGCTTATCTGATCGTGTATACACCAGGACCTGTGCAGTCAGCGCACTGAACTCAAAGCAGCCAAGGATGAAACATCAGATGGGGTTGGCGCTGATCATCTTTTTCAACACTGGATGTTTCGCTATGCGTACTATACTTATAACGAAGGGTGTCGTTGTGTATGTTATCCCTGCAGACCACCTCTTTCATTGTTATCCTACCCCGTGATGGCTAGTCAGATCGGTCCTCTAGTACCAGACCTTACCGACGCCGATAGAGCTTATATATTTACAGAGCTCGACTCGGCATTAAATTCGCGAATTCTTTATTCTCTACTGCTTGGTGTGCATATTAGTTCGTCTGAATATAGGTGTCTAATCATGACTACTTAGGTCTATACACCGGCATCGTCGCCGTCACGTTGGAAAGCATCTGTGAGAGAAACACGTCCACCATGTTATTCAAGCTGAAGGGAAACAACACAGATACGAACAAGACTCGGCCCGTCGGACGGGGCATGGTCGTTGTCATATGTATCCTCCACATCGTCACTTCCGTCAACTTCATCGCCGACTGGGTATACACACGCACTCTCTTTGTTGGAAACGCACAGAGTTCTTGGGCAGAATATCTGTTTGCCAACAGTGACCGTGTCAATTTGACCCTGGTGATGGGTGTTGTGGGTATCATCTGTACTGCTCTTGCGGACTCCACCTTGGTATGTGCAGCTCGCGCTATCCTCTCCATGTCATCAAACCAAACTACAGATTTGGCGCTGCTGGACGGTCTGGGGACGGCGATGGCCTGTCATCTTACCTCCCGTCCTTTTCCTCATTTGCACAATTGGTATGATCCACCTGATTTTCAAGGAATTCGCGAATTCACCCCATGCAGTATTCAACTGCATCGCTATATACAAGTCATATGCCACGATAAGCGGGTACACTCTCGGGTTTGTGCTCCATTCAGCCTTCATCCTTGCTACAACTCTATGGTGCACCCTGCTCATCATCTTCCGCATCGTGGCCGTCGTACGAGCGGAAGCTAGACTTGGAACTTACCGTCACGTTATCGAAGTCTTTGTCGAATCATCGGCTCTTTATTCGCTGTCCTTGATCTTATATGTAGCTGTGTTTTGCTATGACACTCCTGCGACGTTTTACATCGATGTCGTAGCGGGGGTTGCAAGGGTATGTTCTTCAACTGTCACTGTGTGCTCGAGTTACAGTTTTTATGCAGGGAATCGCACCGACGCTCCTCGTGGGGCGTGTAGCAGCGGGACATGCCCGATCGGATGATTCTTGGCAAGGAAGCATCGTGTCTTCGCTTCACTTTGGTACACGTCTGGGAGGGTGGAGGTCTCAGCAGGGGAGCGATGAGTTTGAAGCTCAATTGGAGGGAGGCGACGAATATGCGATGGCAGCGGCTTCTACTACCCACTCGGATGATGGCGTCACCCATCGAGATCACTGCAAAAATCAATCAGGGAAACTAGATAACACGGCGGTCAGCATTGTATCGAGGGATTAATATCTGTTGATGTGCATTCTATTTTACCTCACTTTCATTGCTTATACACGTGCGCCGGGCCTTTCTCTGCTTTCCACCTTAGATTTAATACGTTCTACGGCCGCTGAGTTTCAAGTCCCGTATAAGAATACACACGGCAATACTTACGCCTCGCAGATTACTCAGTTGTTCATTTCCTGACAAGAAATTCCCAGGGGATACTTCAGACCTATTTTTCGATGTATGGGGGAGTCTGTCACCTAGACATTCGCATACATGAACTTTCGACTACTTACTTACTATCAGAACGACGAAGAAGAAAAAGTCCTTGGCATATAATCACTGCTGACCTCTCCGACTGGGAGTCGAACCCAGAACACGGCTGTTAACCGATACACCCAAACGGAGTCTCGCCACATTACGTACAAGAAAGTGGTTTCCTTCCTTTCCATGGCCACGTTCCCTCCAGAGCTCGTGGAAAAAATCGTTCACGAAATATGGCATACTGAGATGCCCTCTATCGTCCGACAGTCCTTCATGACAACTTGCCCCGGGATTAACCGAACATGGAAAGCCGTCTACGCCCCTATCGCCTCTCAGGATATCTACATCCCCAGCCTCGCCTATATATACTACCTATGCGACATAGCTGGGCGCCAAAAGTCCGTCATCTACCATGATCTCATACCCCGACTTACCCGTACCATCACCTGCTTCGTCGATCTCCGAGCAAATGTAGAGGAAAGCGCAGCAAAAGAAGTTTACGACCTTCTCATGAGGCTACCCAACGACATTGGCCTCAAAGCCCTTTTCCCATCGGTTCCTTATATATCTTTTGGAGTCAGTTGGATAGGTGATGGACGGACAACGGAGATGCTACGTGGTCTTCCCATCTACATTCGCTACGACCGGTCCTTGCCTAAACGCCATAAGAAACACTGCTATCTACGACTGGACGTACATGTGTCCATTACAGACCTGGACCCTTTCTCAAGATTGTGTGGTTGCTCTTGGCCCTCCGTCCTCTTTGAAGTGCACAATATTGGAATGCGCCCTCCGAGGGTCTTCGGGTGCCATCATTCGTATCATCAGAGGATGTCTCATGGTGTTCTATATTCTCACCAAACCATGTTTGCAATCCAATTCCGAGGTGATTTGGAGGCTATCAATTGGCGCTTATGGATGGCTTCCAAACGACTCCATGGATTGAGGTTACTTGCCACCCCCCGGTATTACTGGGGATATAAGCAATCACAGTGGTCTTTACGCGTTTCAAAACACTACCGTACAGCATTTCGAGGCTGTCGACCCACTATCGATTTTTAATCTCGAAGTCAACGAGACAATGCGGGCAGCGGAACCGTTTGACGGCGAGTGCTCTGCACAGGTCTCAATCCGACATTTCGACGTCAAGATTTATCAGGAGTGTATTTTGGAACGTTTACGGCGCAATTTACGGGTTTACAGTATCCTAGTGTAATGCCAGGAAACAAATTATCGAAGAAACGGGGATGAACTCAGCATTATATTATCAGGCCAGCTTCTGCTTTACGGTAACGCGCTCAAATTGTTGTTCGAGCGAGTGCAAGGTTCGTTCCTCTGTCACGGTTCCGACATCGATGTACAACACCGTGACTGGAAATAATCCTCTGCAAACATGACAACGATAACGCTTTCAACATGCCTGCCTCCTTTTCTACTCCTGCCGCCATACCCTCAGACCTGGTCAGCGAACGTTGATGCCCAGCGACTTCTTGATGATGCGCCTGCCTACGCGATATGGAAAATCTGGGACAATTTCGGTCACAGGTGCTTAGCGCTCATGCCCCGTTCCATCGATTGAGTCAAGTCGGGACGAATCATTAATGTTAGTCGTCGTGGCTCTCTCGTCACCGCCATCATCGATATTCTTGGGGTCCCGTTTCTTGACTCCCCCTCCCTCAAATGGCCTCTGGGCATATCTTGCGAAGCTGCAGATTACTCAAGGATACCTTCCTTTGATGGATTGCGACTTTTCTTCATACGGATCGTTGAGTCTGGTTTACGAGACTAGCATTGTGCGTAAATTCCAGTTGCAAAATAGGGGCCACGGCGACTTGTACCTGCAATCAATTGCGCTGCCCGACCGCGTACCTCCTGAATGACCGGAGTACGGTCCTGCGCAGAATCGTACGTTGCTCGGACGGTGTCTAAAAGAGCCAGCGAAATAGGGGTTGCAACGGTTCTCACTAGGACCCTTGCGGTATCTTGGCCACCCTTTCTCGAACAAGCCTCTGAGTGAATCCCGCGATGTCGTCGGTTGCTCTTGACATACATATTTCGAGAGACGGCGCCCAAATTATTTTGAGCAGAAAACAGGGGTTGTGTCGCTTCTTACTATAAGACGTCCCGACTCCCTCTTTCGCTGCTTTGATCCATATTATTCCGTCTTCAAGGCTACTCAGCTATGACGAAGGAGGGTGGCCACAAAGATTTTGCGCTATGGTTCCCTCATGTGTTATTCTATCCATAATCTGTCGTATGCTTTTCTGACCGCACTTTTCACCTCTCCATTGCCGAGGCCGTGAAGGAGTACTCTTGGCGGGGCTTTACCATAGCGGCAGAGCATGGCTGAGGTTCGGTCCCGTAGCAGTATGGATCGTCGTCGAGCGATGACCATGGACCTGGTAGACGCTCCGGTTCCATGAAGGGAACGAACTCTGTGCCCGAGACTATAGGGAATGGACCTCACAGTGAGCGTTATCACTGTGTCGTTCTGAAATGTACTAATCATAGGATGTCGTGCCGCCCTCAATTCAAGATAGCCTAACAACCAGTCCGCACCTTTCTTCCAACCACGACGTCCATTCATCGACATTACCCTTGTTCTCATTCTCATCCAACGGTACCACACTCCTGCCTATCCCAGCAGTCTCACGTTTTGTGCTGCTTCTACCATCCTGCAAGACCGTGATTGCTGGTGGAAGACCTGGCGCAATTTACAGCCTCATCGATTCGTCATTAGCATCTACACACTCCACTCTCGATATGGCCTGCGATTTTGGCATGTCATAGCTAGCATGCCCTCTAGCCTGACGAAGCTTTCCAGTGGGAAGTTCGATATTCCTGGACCAAGTATCACATCCTTCATCCTTTCACATAGATCGACACTCGCCAACGAACGAAACACGACATGTACCAAAAGTCCATCCCCAAACAATAACTCCTCCCCTGATCATGTACTCCGCAATACCCCGTTTTTGCCTTCCACACCGGCATTCCATTCCCTCTTACTTGCAGTAGTCTCGGCGCATTGTGCACGTTGACCCTACCCCGTCCGCAACGTTCACAATTGTGGGGGGTCCACCCTCGAGGGAGATATCCTAGCAGCCGGTATCACGAATCTTCTTCGGTGACTCGACGTCCAGGGTGGCACATATCGACAAGAGATCTTTGTTTCTTCGCTGCCTCTACATACTCGAGAGCACCTGAACAGACGAGATGATACCAGGGCGACGAAATATCTGCTGGTGAAAATGAGGCTACCATCATGTCTTACTGTCGCAAGTTTTCGATAGCCCATTCGGGTCTTGGGTGCCGATATGCGCCTACATGCGATAGTGAACCAAACAGTTCTTTCGGGTTCATAAAGCGTGGATGAGGATCCAGCGTATGCTTTCCCTCTCCGCAAGTCCGGCGCATTCTGTTGACTCTGCTATGGCAAGATTTATACCGCGCACAACCAACAATATCCTCATCGCTGGCCAAAATTCAAAGGATCCTTTTCAGCTACCGCCTGCCTGTTCAAGGATGGTCGATGACCGCTCAAGTCAGAGAGGCATGGATTTAACTGAGAGTATGATCCGTCATACCACCGGTCGCAGACGGTTCTCACTCAGATACAATATTGTCGCTTGCCTTTGCCGACTGCTACACAGGCACCTGGTAAATTTATTTTAGCTTGTTTCTTTCCGAAATTCGTCGTACCACCCTTGTCATAATATGAATACATGATGAATACCATCAAGCTCTAGGATCGTCCAATGGTACTTTTCCTCGGATGACTAGCAATTAGGGTAGCGCACGAAACCTAGGTTTCGTTACACTTGGGTTTATTACCGGTAAGTTACCTGAGACCTCCCCTCGCTGGAGGGGTCTTCCGTCGAGGTAACTTACACATCATGTGACAGCCTGGTAAGCATAAAAGTTCAATACAATTACATGTATATTCCGCATACGCAGTACAGGAGTGAACATGCAATGTGTTCAGATGACTTACAGTATCCTTGACAAAGAAAATGTCCTAAAACACGAATACAGATGTCCTGGAAAAATAATTTGCAGTTGCCGCGCGTCCGTCATGTGATGGCGCACGTGATAGGTAAGTAACGGTAAATTACCGTATCAAAACACCCCCCTTGGGGAGGGGTCGGTAAGAAACGGTAAGTTACCCCCCTTGGAGGTTTCGTGCGCAACCCTACTAGCAATATTGATTCTTGAATGGTTATGGGTAATAGTAGGTCCTAGGGATTCTGGATAATGGAATCTGGGTCCTGTGATTCTGGGATAACAAAACAAGTAAAATTTAGATTTTCCAGATGTACTCTCTGGCTGGGAGTGGAACCCAGCTTTCGCGTGGAACGTGAGTTGTTCAATATGTAAGCCTGACAGGCGCGTGTACTAACCGATAGACTACCAGAGAATGCTAATCTTATTTTGATTGATTGATTATCACGTCCATTATCATTATGGTAAGTTAAACTTGGTCTTCCGCGGGACTCTCACCCGAAGCTAACGTTTCATCGGCAATCTTTTTGTCATGTTTCGCGGATTTTTTCCCTGATATCTTACAGCAGACGTCACGACGAAAACGTGGATTTACGAAGGTAGCCGGACGGTAGGTGAAATTCTAGCAACTAACAACGAGATTAGAGCACATCCACACCGCCAGGCTGCTACCCTCATTCACGTCGTCGCTCCATTCCTTCCCATGGCACGTTTGGTCACAGTCGCGCCCTCTTTTCGAGCATTTTCATCACCAGAGGACACGACGATGATTGGTGCTGGAGTTATAGACGGCTGCTATCGGGCATCGCAATGGAGGGATGAATTACGCAGCAGGAAGACTAAAGCGACGGTGATTGGAGAGGAGGCATCGTTTGCGTAGATCGTCGTCGAGCGATGAAGTGAACTTCCTCGGACTTGGTAGACGCTCCGGTTCCGCGGGGTTAAATATGTCCGAGACTATAGGGAATGGACCTCACAGTGAGCGCTATCACCGTGTCGTTCTGAAATGTACTAATCATAGGATGTCGTGCCGCTCTCAATTCAAGACGAGCCTAAGCCTGCCACCTTTCTTCCAACCAAGCGACGGCACCAGGGACTGGCCATCTCTCCACCCTTTCCCTTTCTATGAGGAGGAAGAAGCTCGTGTCGATACCACATTCCGTGCCACCATGGCTAGCGCGACCACTATCTGTGCGGGAGCCCATAGACCTACCACATCCCGGCAGGTTCAGCATGTACTCTGCAATACCCCGACCTTTTCTTTTTGCCTTGAGTACTGCCGCGCTCGGATATCTCATTCCCTCTTACCCGCACATCGTAATGAGGAGCAATCGTGAACTTACCCGTCCGCCACGTTCATGGTTCGTGGGAGGTGTCGACAATTACTCTCCCACCCTCGGGGGAGATATCCTAGCGACGGATATCAATCCGGGGTAACATGCATCGATACAGCAGGAGCGCCTACCTCAGCTGTCAGTTTCATCGGCATAGGGAACTGAGGTCCCTGCAGTCTTTGTTCCTTTGTCGAGGCATTTACCCGGGTAGTCGACGGTCGTGGTGATACTGGACTAGCGGAGTATATGCTGGTAAACATGAACTCAGCACAGCGTGCCTCATCGTCGATAGCCCGTGTGGATCTTCCTTACGACGCGGACGGTTCTTTGGGGTTGGTGGAGAACAGGCTGCGAGCTCCCTTTTGCGTGTACATCAACCCGACGCTTTCTTTTCCTGAACCCGTAGCCTCGCATGCTTTCAAGGAGCCGGCACGAGCCTTGAATCAAGCGGACACCACTATCATTCGAACGCCATACTTCATGTTCTCTCGCTACACAAAGTGATCCTTTTAGCTACGGCCTATCGGTCCAGGGATGGCTGCTCAAGTCAGAGAGGCATGTATTCAGAGAGTACGTTCGAGCCCGGTGACTGAACGGATCAGTTCTCACCCAGATGTGATGTTGGCGCTCACCTTCTGAAAATCCTCTTTTTCTCTTTGTTAACTGCTACACGAGCACCCTGTAAAGTTATCTTAGTTTGTTCCTTTCCAAAATTCGTAGTATGACCGTAGCACGTACCACCTTTGACATACGATGTCGGTTTCATAATATCAGTATTGAGTACCACTTGACTCTGGGATCATGCTATGGGAATTCTCCTCGCATAGATAATGAGCAGTGTTAATCCTTCAATGGACAACAGTTGTATAACTAGGTAGCAGGTACTGGGCAGTGTGCATTCTTGTATTTACGACGGTATCTACTATCTACTATCTAGATTCCATAATCGGGATGAGAAAAAAAAGGCTAATGAAATAATAAATGAAGCGTACTCTCTGGCTGGGAGTCGAACCCAGCTTTCGCGCGAAAGTGGTTTCATACATTTACCATGACAGGCGCGTGTACTAACCGATATACTACCAGAGAATATAATAATTAATTCGATGTCATCGTCCTATTCCAGTGACTGCTCCAATATAGATAGATAGATTACCGGCCAAAAAGGAGCGCCGGGGTTCTGTGCCGCCACAAAATGTGTCACACTCCATGCTGCTGTGATACCCTCAGTCGCCAGCCGAGAACGTCTCACGAGTCACGGATTCAAAGTGTCGCAGGGACGAGTACAAAACTTCAAAAGATAAGCACTGCATTATGTAGTACCCAATATAGTACGGCGACGACGACACGCGCTGCGTTCACATGTCTTCTTCAGACGCAGCCGTCCAAAGACTGAGGCCTGAGGGGCGGTATATACACCGGGAACAAAATGTGCAAACAGAGGCTCGGCGGCCGGCAACTGCAGCAGACAAGCCAAACGATCTTCCGAGTCAATACCAAACCTGTCCCAACGCAAGTTTCGAATCTGAGCTCTTTGCCGTATTCTGATATTTAACTTTTCAGCAGCGAAACGAACGATAAAAGCATGCTAGGATATGTAGAAACTTGAAAGGAGTTGCAAGGTGCGTGGGATTCCGACAACTGTAACAAGGACTCATTCATACCACCAGGCCGCATTCCAAGGGAATTTTTCGTCGTTCCCGTTCCCATCCAGTCACGTTTCCGAGACCGGTCACCCAGTCTCGCTATCGTACGGTATGGTGACCGGGATAGATAGCGAGGACACAGTGCTGCCAGTGGCGGGGAGGTCTCACTGGCAGTACTCGTGCGAGTGGGTGGACCATTCTTTGAGCACCTATCAAACGATGTAGGCTGGCCCAAGGACCGACAATGGAGGCCTTACCGTGATTTCCGTGGAACTGCTGAGGACATGCGTGCGGATCACTTCTTGTCCGATACCTGTTCAAGCGCCAGCAGCGTTCAATCGACGCCGTGTAGGTATACGGACTAGGAGCCACAGTAGGAGCTTGTTATCTGTATCCCAAAGCCGAAACTCAGTCTGCATACCTGACAGAAATCTTGCGCGGGTAGAAACACAAGGTCGATCGACGATGGCCATGGGAAATTGATGTTGGCTGGGGATATCGAGCGACAGTGGTTATATGTTACCTATCGTCCAACAGAAATTAGAAGCGGACACAGTATAGCGAAGGTGTGTCATACTAGACAACTGCAGCAAAATGAGCCCTCATTCGTACCACCAGACCACCAAATCCGCACCCCTCACTTAGACTCCTCCCGACTTGATGTCAGTCGATCAAGCGTACTATGCGGGTTACCTCGCAGGTGTTCCGTGACTACGGTACCACCGAAATCGGCCTCATAGAATGCCCCAGAACCCCATCCCGTCTCACCAAAACCCACGCCTAGCTCGCACAGCACTCCCAGAGTGTCACTTACGTAGCGACCTTCTACACGAGCCTTGATCTACCTTACTATCAGCCTCTTTTTCCTAGCACTATCTATCGGATTCTCGGGCGTATCTAGTGGTGCTTGGAACATCATTGACCATGGCACCCTGCTGCACTTTCGCCCCGCCCCGAGTCCGTATTCCGAAGTTTCAACCTTTTGGTTTGGGGATCCGCCACTACAGCCATATCCTTCTGGATTGTCTACGTCCCGCTGCGCGAGCTTACTTGGGGTCCAGGGAACGTACTTTGGGCGTTCTTCAACCTTGTCCTTTTCATTGCGAAAGTCGCATGGAAAGTGTAGTTGGAGTGCCTCTCGTTGGGCACAATGGTGTAGTGACGCTCAAAATTGGAGATGCCATTCGTATCGTGCGTATGATACAGTCCTGGCCTTCGGTCAAACGGCGTTATGGTAATGCTACTTCTGGCAGCACTTCCTTTTATCGATTCCTGGGAGCTGGTACGCCGACCCATCCTCTTTCCTTTATTATTTAACATCAACAACAGACACAGAGTACCGGACCAATAGCGATGGGTTTCCTGGCTGAGTCACAGATGCATGCATGCATGCATGGTGTGTTATGTTATATTCGCAATCACTTACATGTGTAATACACGATGCTATCTCTAGCTCCCCTTCCAAAGTTCCGACAACAAGGAGGTGCAAAGTCAATTCAATTGCAATCTAAGATCTGTCTTGTCGAGACGCACAAAGCCTTTCGTGCTCCAGGTAGGTGCTACTACTACAAAAGGCTGAGATCTCAACATAATTCAGAACCCAAGGACTGTACATCAGGAGAAACGTCCAACTTTCTACGGATCGTCGAACATGAATAGACTCAAGCCGGCCTAGGCTAGTAGCATGCAGGGTACTGTTACTATGATCGCAAAGAAGGCCGCTGCCCATGCAGTATACGTGGCACCTACGACATATTCAAGCCCCAGCGTTTCTATACCATAGTAGTGCCCGACAAGAGGCACTCCAGTCACGCAATATACTCCGGCCCATAAAATACTCAACACGAAGCTAAGGATCCTCTGCGCTCCATCCGAAGCACGCAAAAAACAGGCTTGTAACGAAACGCTCAGCACACCAAACGGAATGAATGCAGCCATGGATCCCCAAAATCCAACCAGGAAGGTCGACCAAAAGCCGACTTGGGAATAAGGGCTTTGGGGAGAGCTGAGGTGGAGCAATAGCCAATGGCCAACGAGAAGCCAACCACCGCTGACGGCGCTGATGATTGCGACTATTATTGCCACACAGATGAGCGCAAACGGTATGGCGAGCAAGAGTCCGATGGTCTTGGCAAGGATGTCGATGCCGTGGACTTCTCTAATAAGAGAGTGATTCACGAGCCGATGATCAGGTTCGATGTTATGAGCGTGACCTGCGAGTCGTTTATAAGTTTCGATGATATAAGTCGACGACAAGACTCACCTGCTTGGGCAGCTTCTATGGCTCCGTAGCTACGGTAGGTGCCATCGTTGAGGATAGGACCTTGGGTCCTGGAACGACCGAAGTGGTGAAACGCAGACATTGTGGCTGATCGTGGTAGGGATGTTGTAATTTCAGACGTGGACGTCGGTGGGGTGGAGGAACGGCGTCCGTTCCCACGTTTCAACGTTTCAACGTTTTATGTATGAGAGTGGTAAGCGCCTGAGATCCTGGCGCTTGTGGTTTGCCTTCCAGCCAGCAGTTACCGTGGGAGCAACGCGGCTAACACACCAGACCCTCGAGGTATTCACTAAAATTATCTCGTCTGCTATTGAATGTTGGTAAATCCAACTAGAGTTTAATGGATCCTCGAGACAACCCTCGAGAAGGACGAGCGATGCTAATGAGGACCCCAGAACTTGGCGAGAAACTCAACTCATATGTCAACTCTTCTCTATATCTTTTCAATATGAAGGTCACCCAACCGATGGATTTCTGAGTATAAAGACACGACTGTGTATGTATCTAGTATTCATCTGCAGTGTCGACCAGTAGTCGACCACTTCATCACAAAACAGTCACTCTGGCTCAGATAAAGATTGCTTTTTCCACGACGTGTAAATCACTTGTGAAAAATCGGAAAACGATAACATCTTACCTCTAAGTGCTTAGTGTTTATCAATTCTGCCAGTTCGAATCTCCACAAAGTGGTCGATATTGTTTCGAAGCGCGTGGGAATAAATTTGACTCTATTAGGAAGACCAATTGTACTAGTCCCTTCACACTTCGATCGACTATCATCGAATTTCGAATTTCAAGGGACTGGTTCGAGTCTACCCCTCACCGTACTCAATCCCTTCTCGCGGAGCTTTCGTTCTCATCCAACTGTATTTCCGATGGCGAATCGCAGACCATCGCCTTCCTTTGGCGCATTTTCGGCACAGCAATAGACAGTCAGGACTGCTGCTAAAATGACGGGTGGCGCTGGGATCATGGGCGGGGGCTGGACGAATGCCTATCGTGCAATGTGAGATAACCAAAGGTCTCGCAATGAAGGAGTCACCATAATGACCGTGGAACCGTCGAGCTCACCGTCAACCACTACCTTTTCATTTCCCTGGTGCTCTGCTAAGGCAGCCTGGATGTATAGAGAGGAATATTGCGAAGGTGGTGCAAGGTGCGTGAGATTCCGACAACTGTCGAGATTAGAGCTCATCCACACCACCAGACCGCATTCCAAGGCGATTTCCCGTCGTTCCCTCGTTCTCATCCAGCTGCGTCGGTCGTGGTCTTTCCCCAAGTCTCGTTCTCGTATGGTGTGGCGCATTTTCGTGACCACCTGACAGCGAGGACATGGTTGCGAACAGTGCTGGCGGCTGGCAGTACTCGTGCGAGTGGGTGGACCTATCTTTGAGCACCTATCAAACGATGTAGGCTACCAAGGACTTGTCGTGAGTTCCGTGGAACCGCCAAGGACATGCGAGCGATACTTATTCAAGTTCCTGCCTCTTACATTCAGACGGCGTGCATTGGCTTCTCTATGCCAATGAAGAGGTCTTCCAGGCAAAGTCTCTAGCAGCATTCAATTGACGCTGGCCATGGATACGGAAGTAAATGTGTGTTGTCTATATTCTAAAGCCGAAACTCAGTCTGCATGATTTTCCGAAGCCACTTTACTTTCAACATCTTGGTTTGGATTTCGGGGATCTGTCACTACAGCCATACCTTTCTGGATCGTCTACGCCCCGCTGCGCGATCCTTCAGGGACCCTACTTTGGGTGTTGTCCTTTCCATTACAAAAGTCGCATTGGAATGTGTAGTTGGAGTGCCTCGTGTTGGGCACTATGGTGTAGTAACGCTCAGAGTTGAAAATGCCATCCGTGTTGCGTATACAGGAGGAGCAGTCCTGGCCCTTGGGTCATGCTATTTCTCGCAACACTGCCTTTCATCGATTCCTAGGAGCAGGTACGCCGACTCATCCTCTGTCCTTGATTATTTAACATCAACAATAGAGTATCTTCCTGGCTGAGTCGCAGATCCATGGATGCATGCATGGTGTGCTATGTTATAGGACTCGTACGTCCACGACCCCTCTCGGCAACATTTGTTTACGATCTTATTAGCTTCGCAATGTGCTTACATGTGTAATACACGATGCTTTCCCCAGCCCCCCTTCCAAAGTT